CAGAGGGTCATACGTACATGATGACATCGTCAATGGTCCTGTCGATTATGTCTCGGACCGTCTGAACGTCCTTCTCGGCGATCCCCTGCAGGCCCACACTGAAGTAGGCCTCCCGTGTGTAGCCATTGTATCTAGAATAGGAAAGGTGATCATGCATTACAGTCCGTATGGCTTCCATCACTCACTCACCATGCGCTTCTTCATTTCAAGATCAAATATACTGCAGAACAGAGCTAAGAACATTAAACTCCCAAGTCCTCCAGGACAAAGCAATGAAAGCCGTATCCTCACATACCTGTTTCTCAGACATAATTGATCACAGTGACATCACATCTTTTTAACATTTCTAAACATCACTACAACTTAAACTTTAGAGTTATGGCAAAATAAACCTAAAAATAGAGAACTGCTCAGTTTTACAAAACCTTAAGATTTCTAACAATATTTAACAACCTGACTTTAAAAATAGATACCAGTATGCCATTCTGAGATCTTTAAAAAGCTGCCTTTTTCCAGATACCCCCTGTAGGGAACATAAGTTAACACATTGTGGATGGATCACAAGAATTCTCGACTCACATTACACAGTATTTTACAAAGTATCATACTTTAAAAAAAAAAGATATTAGCTTGTAAGAACATGTAATAAATAACTTCAAAATGCAATGGGTATTTAATTTTAAAGCGTCCCTTTAACATTTATGTAAAGTGTTTTTGTACTCGTTCAATAGAAACTTATCTGATCACTGGGTAAAGCTAGCAGTAAAACCATTGGTCTACAATGTGTTAACTTGTACCGGATCCGTACTCCAGTGCACAGTTCTGTGCTGGGGCAGGAGGGGCCATCCTGTGACTGTGGGATGTGAAGCATACTACCTCCACGGCCCCACCCACCACATGGTAGTAACCCTCCCTCCCCAGTTGTGACAAAAAAAAAAAATGTGTCACATTGTCAAATGTCAAAACTGCCCCCAATAGCAACCAATGATCTCATCTGAAGATAAATCTTACCCAACATCAGGAGAAAAGTCTGTGCCGAGTCCAGATTCAATTAAGGCTTTGTAGAAGGGGGAGTTGGGCCCGCCGATCAAGAGTGAAGACAGAAGGTTTAATGTGAAGGCTTCAAATGTGTCAGTGATCCTTCATTTTAAGAGGGACATGGGTGGGGGGTTGAAGAGAAAAAGAGAAAACCATTGTCCCTTACGTTTTCAAAATCATTATAAGCAGTACTACGTTTATACTTTTTTCCAAAGAAGTTGAAGTTCTAGTAGAAATTCTTGCATTCCAACCTCTATTTTAATAGTTATATCAGCAAAAGAGAGTAATTATACTAGGACTTTTTTGGGAGTCCAAACCACAAAGTCAGTTTAGCTGCATACTGAATGCTACTGCAGGAGGGTGTGCAAGCACTCTGACATAGTACTACTTCAATTCGAACCGCACTATCACACTACATGGCAGACAAGACACTGCGGAGATGGGGCAACTCTGTCAGCCTTGAAGCTTCTGAGGGCAGACAACCATGACGGGTGGAGTGAGGCAGGGTTCCTTGCTGCCCACACCCTTCAGCAGCGTTCACAGTGCTCTTCTCATACTCAGCCACCTGTGACCCCAATGGTAACGACTTCTGTTCTGAGCCCGGTTTTTTCTCTAGAATTGAGCTTTAAATGCAGTGAGGAAGAAGTTAGTTTCCTTCAGAACAGCTACTCAGAGATTTCCCCTCAAACTATTCTAGACATTGTCAGAAACCCCACTGACATCCAAGACCTACCTGCTGTAACCCTGAACCCTAACCACCCAACCATTCATTCCTGACCAGAGAACTAAATCTGACCCTGCTCACCTGCGTCTCCTACTTCCACATGGATACTTACTCTGGTAAGAGGAAGCTGACACTGACGGTTGTTTGTTTAGAGGAACTTGCGGCCATTGAGTCCGGAGCACAGGTGATCTGAAATTCCCTCTGTAAAACCATGAAGTAGGCACAGCACGTGAATGAATGGGTTTAAACTAGTATAGATTACCTAGAGGAATAAAATGGTCCAAGAGATGCTTTTCATTAAATTAACTTTGTTTTAAAACAAAAACAGTAACTTGTATGCATGCATATTAGCATAACCAATGGACACAGACACTGGGGCAGTGGGAGCTTGCCCTTGGGGGTGGGAATGGCGGGGTGGGGGTGGGGGGCATCAATCAGGGAAAAAGGAGAAAAACTTTAGACAAAAAAAAAAATACAGCAAATACTCAATTTTGCAAACCTCAACTTAATGGACTTCAGACTTAACCCACAAAATTACAGGTCTACATGTCATATGTGAAAATTAACACCCAGTTGATTTTAATATGCTTTTAACCAAGACTTGCTTAAAGGTAATTAAATTAACAGGTTATTTTTTGTTATGAATTCACTGTTATTTTTAACAAATTTTAGCGAATAGGCCATATGTTGGAAAAAACACTGTAGTAATTTCGCTGACATAAATACTACATGTCTACAACTATAGTCTACATAATTAATTTCAAGAGCCACTGCTTCTAAATTTTCGGGAAAGGATTAGCACATGATCACAATGCTTCGTGCTCATGGTGGGTCCTTCTGCAGCAGTTTTAATTCATGTGGCAGATGTTCTGATGTGCACTAAGCCACGCCCCAACCGTTTACTTGAGATGACAGGTGAATGTTCGCATTTACTAGACCTATTCAGTATAAATTTAAAATGACAGTAATACATACAGAAAACTTTTCTATGAAATTAAACTTTTCATACATACTTAATTTTAATAACACAAATGTGTCCACATAAGTAAAATCAGGTAAACTAATTAATTTGCCAATTTTTTAAGGTATGCATTTGGAAAACCTACCTTATTAAGTAACGGACTTTCAGCTTTAATGGACACCCCTGGCCTGAATTAGTCTGTTATAATGAGGCTTTACTGTAACCTTCTTTAGGTTTGAGAAGAGTCACAACCACATTTTAAATCCCGTTATCAACACACAATTGGAGTCTTTGTCTCCACATACTAACAGGCTGGTAAACACTGATTATCCTCTGGGCGCACTCACCGGCTTATCCCAAGGCTTCTGAGGCGGCACGCTGGTGCGTGGCTCAATTTTCTGAAATTTACTCAGAGCCTCTTCATGAATTTGTTCCAGATGCTGTTCTAGCGGAAAATTACCGTAAGTAAAGAACCTAAAAATTTGAGAGAATATATTAGACTATTTTAGTTTAAATGATTAGAAATCAGCACAGATGGCCTTTTTATATACATACACACATACACATATATTAGCTAACAAGAGGCTTCAAAGTGGAAATGAACTCTATAGAGGAACACTTTTTTTTTACACTTAGTTTAACTATAAACACCAAACAGACGCTTTTGCTCCTTTTTATAAATAGGTGGTTCAAACCAAACAAAAGTTGTACAGGAGAATTAATGTAAATTTGGGCAATAACTGCTCTTCATTTAAATCTACTCTAACGGTGATACAAAAACCAAATAAGTTTTATGTTAAACTACTTTGTGACCTTGGCTACAGTAACACAATAATCCATGTAAGACTGAAAGATAAAGAATTTCACAAAGTTCAATTTTAGGCTACAAATTTCAGATTACACATGTTTTGAAACCAACACATTTATTCAGCCAGGGGGAAAGGGTTATAATCATAGAGTTGATCTTCTACTTTAATATAATGTCGGTTACGGTTAAAATTTTGGGAATGAGCCCTAGCTGGTTTGGCTCAATGGATAGGGCATCGACCTGCGGACCAAAGGGTCCTGGGTTCAATTCCGGTCCAGGGCACATATCTTAGTTGCAGGTTCCTCCCTGGCACTGGCCCTGGTCGGGGTGCATGCAGGAGGCAACCAATTGATGTGTTTCTCTCACATTGATGTTCCTCTCTATCTTTCCCTCTTTCTAAAAGATCAATGGAAAAATATCCTCAGGTGAAAATTAACAAAAAAAAATAAAAAATAAAAAACATTTGGGGAATGAGTATCTAAAAGATCCTTAAAAAATTTCCACTCAAACAGTAGCGCCGTGCAGACACAAGTCTATAAATATCTGTCCCCATGAGTCACAGGCCACCTTGGGAAATGACTAGCTGCACACCTGGAGCAGGAAGAGCCTGGGTTTGGGTAGGAGGACAGAAAACAAAGTTACTGAAGACTGAAACTGTCCGACAGGATGAGCTTGAGGGAGCTCCCTTGGGCCATACTTGGGACATGTGAACATAAAAAGATTAATTAAAAAATCCATGTGATCTCACACCTCAGATATACACATATATAAAAATATGTGTATGAGTATAATGATATTAAAAAATAAAACAAACCAAACAAGGCTAGAAAGAAAAGGGTATCTTTATTGGAAGAGCAACTGCCGCCATGCCTCTCCCCAAAACTGGACAGCCAAGGGAAACAAGCACCCTGCCTTTCCCCTCAGAATCCTGTCTTCAGGGTAACCCACAGCCCTGCGGATGGGGAAAGCTCTTCTATACAGAAGCCCAGCTAATTCATGTACAATTATTATTGAGAAAGCTTTACTAACTCTACAGAAGGAATTGCTCCAGGCAAGAATCGTCAATGAATATGAGAACATGCACAGGTGGATGAGGAACTCCATGTCCACAAGGTGCTGGTTACCACCCCAGCCTACGCCTTGGTCTGGCAGGAACCAGCTTTACAGTGGGGATCGCTGTCACCGTGGGGACCCGCAACCAGCTGCAGCTTCCCCCTGTGTAAGCAGGTCCTAGACATCTGGATGCAGCAGGGATGCAGGCATCAACTATGAAGGTAACCGAGTCTTTGAAGCCAAGTCCCCTTTGGGAAACACAGGAACGCATCCACCAATGCCACAGAAAGGCAATCAGACGCCCAGAAAGTTTTTAGAAAACCCCACTGGCATAAGTTTTGAGAAAATCCAGAGGCAACCTGCCTACTTTCTTCAGTTTCAATGAAAACAGAGGGGACACCATCCTACACAAAGGGTACTAAAAAGACATAATGATGATGAAAGGCAATTTGTGGGCCTCACTTAGGTCACAAATTTGGGGGACAACTGGAAAGTCTGAATTTGTGGTAGGTGGCTTTGAGCAAGTCTTTTATTTTCTTAAATGTGAAAATGGTATTATCTCATGTAAGAAAATATCTTTATATTTTAGGCTCAATAATCCACGTATTGAGGGTAAACCCTCATATTTGTAGTTCCCTTTATTAGCGTTTAATTTTTAGTGATCTCTGAAATAAGCAATTTATCAAAAAATAAGTATCCAAGGTTTAATAACTGCCACCGCCATTCCTGGGACACTGTTGGGACTGAGGCATGAAGCTATGGGCACCTGTCACTCCGCCCTATGAGGAGGGTGGGCCCAGGCCCTCCTCCAGGTGGGTTACCACCATGCTGGGCTGCAAGAGTGTCACTGCAGACCTTTAGACTGCGCGTCCAAGTAAACGAGAAAGGCAATTTATGAAGTAAAGAATCTTGTCTCAATTTACTTGGCTCTTAAGCAAACATTTCCCTGATAAATGTGAGAGAAGCTTATCACTGTGTAAGAAAAAGCAAGTCAACTCATAATCCAACACCATCCAACCTTAAAAACAAAACATCACCTGGCATTACTGGGGTGATAATGCGTAGCATGGAACTGTTTAAGCTGCTCCCACGTGAGGTCTGGGATGCACAATGGGTCACCGCCAGAGATCACCGCATACGTGTGGTCAGGAAGGAGGCGGTTCAGAAGGTGCTGTGAGAATATCCTCTCGTTATCTGTCTTCAAATTAAAAAAATACACATATATGTAGCATAGTACACACATTATTACAACACAGCAAGTTAACCACATCCTGGGAGCATGTACCTATAACACCTCACGAGTAAAACCATCCCAATGATAAACAAGGGTGTCCACACACAGTGTTTAACAAAGCACCCGGTTCACTCCTGATCTGCGCGCAGGACCCAGGGACTGCCCTCTTGGGAGAGAGGGTGCATCCACTTTGCAGTAGACCCTGGGTGATGAACCACACAGGGGAGGCTGTGGGAAAGATGTCCTG